TCAGTGGAGCTCAACACCGTACCTAGACTCCGGGCAGCCTCAGGAGAACTTTTAGTATCAGGCCCCCATTCACCAGAGATAATGATAATAGTAATAATTACCATTTTCAGGCCCCCTTTCTGTCTGGGCCCTGGGTGGCCACCCTGCTCACCCATGTCTATGTCTGGTCCTGGTGGAGCTAAGGCAGCATGTTTGGCTTCTACAGGAAACACATCCCCAGGCATCTTCTGATCTGCGCTGCCCTTTCACAGGTCCATTTCTTTTTCCCCTCACTGCCAACAACACTGAGACCTGCTCTGCTCAGTACACTCCCTCTCAGGCATTCAAAGCACTAACTGGCTCTACCCAAACCCTGCAAAAAGCCATTCACACAGGCCTTAGACCCACTAGCTCCCCATTTACTTTCCATGAGGAAAGAGAAGAGAGATTTTTTTTTTAAAGGAACAGATAAATTTGCTGATCCTCTTTCCCAGACACTGATTTCCTGCACAGAGATCCCATCATAAATTAATAACCTGCTCTAGAGCTTACCACTCCAACTGCTGTTAGTAAGTACTGCATGTGTACTGTGTTTCTCTCCCCTGCTGCATGAGTACTGGTGTTTCCTTCCCTCACTTGGAGAGGACATCACCAACTAAAGAGGAAAGACAATTTTGCCCTTAAACCTCATAATACCCTCAGGTTTAGAGAATTTGTTTCCCTCAGGCCTTGCCCATGGCCCTGCCTTTGCCATTCACCAGGCTGCTGCAGCACATGGGGACCTGCTGACTGAATGTTTCCTGCAGGACATCCCAGATAGCATGAAGGAATGAGTGCTCCTCTCAGCGTGGTGACACACGGTCAGATGGCACCACTCACCACAGCATCTTTGTGGCATGCATGCTACTCCCCAGGCCTAGGGTTTCATGCCAGGCCAGCACAACTTAGCACCAGGCAGCCAATACCGATCCATAAGGCCACACATGCTCCTGGGTTCAAGTCACACCAGCAAATGCAATTTTTTGCAAGAATTATGCCCCCACCACAATTTTATACCACCTGCACCAGCTTCTAACCCACTTGGGACTCAATCCTGCCAAGTCCAGGCCCAGTGCTGGGGTAGAGACATAATCCCACTGAATTGAGAAAGGGATTTCTTTTGGAGCTCCAGCTGAGCCCTGGCTTCAGCATTTGGCTGGACTAGGGTCAAATGGGTCAGCATCATTCAAGATACAGACAAGCTGTTACAGCATCCATGTTGGAAAACCACGGGGAGTGCATCTAGCTAAGCAGCATTTAACCTTAAGGACTTAGTGGTGCCATCTCTAGCAGCTGATCCCTCACATTACCTATAATGCTTCTACAGGCAACTGTGATGCCAATGAAAGGAGAGTGCAGACTACAGTGGGAAAGGAGGACCCTTGTGTCTACGACCCTGATTCAGCACAGTTTTTAAGCACAGACCAAAGGGCTTTATTCCACAGGGATGGAAGTGCTGAATCAGGACCTGAATCCAGTCTCTCCCACTCTGGCCACAGGCAGTTGACCCCATTTTAAAGGCTGGGTAGGAAGCCCAGGGGAGCAGCTGAATGAAACTGCTTTCCTTGGGTGTTCACCAGCACACGCACGTTACCAAGGCCATACCTGAAGGTTCCTTTCAGCCTCTTCCAAGGCCTTCTCCACGTTTGTCAGGCTGCTGTCCAGTTGGGCACTCTGCTTGACCTTAGCTTCCAGGTCCCTTTTCATTTTGGCCGCCACATCATCTAGATCCATAGGCCCCTGGGCAGGTGCTTCCTTCACTCTCTTGGCCCGCTCAGCTATCTCCCACTGGATCTCCTTTTCCAAGGCCTCTGTTTTGGCAGTCAGCTCATGGATCTTCTGCGTGTATTCCTCCAGGGTGGCCTGCAGGCTCCTCACCTTCTCCTGCCGCTCCCTCTCGCACTCCTTCTCCAGGCGCAGCTCGCTCTGCCAGAACTCCTCCTCGCCCAGCTCCATCTCATTCCGCCTGACCAGCTGCTCCAGGTAAAGGATCTCATCCTCCTGGCTGGTACTCCTGCTGCGCTCCCAGTACCTAAGGTCCGTTTCCAAAGAATCCCCATGGACCTCTAAGGAGTAAAGCTGCTCCTGCTGACGCAGCACTGTCTTAAACAGCTCATCCTTGGAGGGCTGGCCCCCATTGGCACCGTCCTTCACATCAGCATTGTCCCTCTTGTGCTGCCTCAGCTTGCTCTTGGCAAACAGATCGCTGGGGCCCATAGGGCCCAAGTTAAAGGTCATGGACTTTTTAGGCTCCCTGGACCTGGGCACTTCTGTGCTCACTGGCCTGGGTTTGATGGGCAGGCTGGCCCGGATGAACGTCCTCTCAGGAGCCTGGGCGGCATTGTCTGAGGACGGCCGTTCAGTGAGGCTGGGGCCTGTCCGCCGCAGGACGAACTGCACATCATTGGCATACTGGCCACACTTAGCTAGAGACTCCACTGGGCACTCATGCGGGAGGAGCTGCCTCTCCTTCTCCCGCAACTTCTGGACGAGGACGTACCGCCCTGTCTGACCTGGGAAGAGAACAAAGAACAGTCACCAGGGGCTCAGGGAGAAGTGCGTCTTGAGGGGAAGGGAAATCACAGACGGCAAAGTTTTAATCACACGATTGTAATGTCAGGCAACAGACACCTCACCTCACCCCCTCTCTGGCCTGAACCCCAGCTCCACCCAACATTAGAAGTGCACAGATGCTGGCAGCATGTCCAATCATAGGTGCTAGGTCTCTTCCACCATACTAGCAAACAGGAACCTTGCTGTCCCTCAGGGAAGGAGACCATCGTCACTGGTTATAGCATAGCAATGTGCAATTTTCCTCCACCATGCTCAGCCAATGCACTTCCAGCCTACCATGGGTTGCCCTTTCCTTCCTACCCTTGGCTCACCACCCTAGCTTCATTCCAAGTCCGTAGATATGGACGATTCCTCAGAGAGGAACAGGGTCTTGCCTGTACTAGGAAATTCAAAATCTTTTATGTTTTCCATTGCTCCAGTTCTAGCACTAAGGTTCAGGCCTGGACAGGACAGGACACCACAGCCGTAGAGACTCCTAGGTCACGCCTACACTGCAGCCATCAAGTGCTAGTGCAGTCTGAAGATAAGGGATCTTTTCAAGTCACCACCACAGCATCAGAAAGCATCTGCCAAATAAGCAGCAGCCAACAGGAAGAAATTGCTGTCCCCTGGGGATTAAACACTGATTCTAGCCTGCCTGGAAGGGGTGGGGGAAAAAAATCTGAGCTATGCCTGTGCACATAACCAGAGGCCAGGAAAGTTGAGCATGTTACAATGCTACTGGTCCAAACCAACCCCTCCCATCCAAACAGATGGGCCTGCTACAGCTGGGAGCTCCTGCTACAGGCATCACATCAGAGTATAACCAGAGCCTCCTTTTAATCCATGTTATTAAGACACAGGACTGTGTTATGAGGGTGAAGTTACATGTTACACTTAGACCATACTACAGCTGTGGAGTGCCAAGCAATGTTAAAAGTTAGAATGGGCTGTGAGCAGTCACATGTTAAAGGTTAATACACAGCTCTGACTTGCCACTGGAGGGCTGGTGAGCAGAGATGTGGCTAGGAGCCAGAATACCTGGGCACTGTCCCTGATCTGGGAAGGGGGGCTGGGAAAAGCAGGGGGTTAAAGCAGTGCATACTGGGATGTCGGAGGACTACAAACTGTTTGTTTTATCTCTGCGGAGCAGACAGAAGTTACATTAACAAGAGCTAGGTAGCATGGCCCACAGTTAACCCTCACATGAAGTGGCACAAGTTTTGAGATTCTCAAAGGGCACTTAGCACAAGTTAATGAGCTTTAATGTGTG